AAGATGGAGTGCACGCTGTCAGTGTCCAGCTTGACAAAATACAGGCAGCAAATGCGTTTCTTGTAACATCTGGGCTTTTATTAAAAGCAGTGTTGCAGGAAAAGTATGAGCTCTGTAGAAATACGCGAGTACGTGAAATTCAGCCATTTGCGTTGACTCGGAGAAGAAGGGGGAAATGGGCGGCTGGAGGGGAAGAGCCGGGGGGGGTCCCGCGGTTGGGGTGAGGGGTCCTGTGCCATTTGTCTGCCTTGGGACGTCAGCCCGTGCCGGCTACCTGGTACCAAACTCGTGAATCCCCCTCCGAGAGCTTCCCCCTTGTTGTCAGGGTCAGCGGGAAGTCACTCTGTGGGACACGCGGCTGCAAGGCAAATAGGACATCATAGAGCAGGCTGGAGTGGCAAACGCCGCTGTCGTCGCAGGTCTCTCCTCCCAGGCAAAGCAAGAGCCTTGGCTGTTGATTTCCCCCAGCTCCCCTGTTCAGGCTTGCATGGATCTGAAGGCTGGACTTGCAAATTGCCATTTTTAGGATCGGTGTGCCGAGACCAGAGTCCCAGCAGGTGGAAGACATGGAAGCTCGGTGTTGGGCATTTCTGAGAGATTCAGGCAGCCCAGCCACGATGGGTTCCTGGAAGTACTACATCAACGGCATCCTGGTGGACAGGAACGTTGAAGGTGTGGCTATCGTGGGCCTCTCTGACAACAAGTGCATGTGTGCAGCCAAGCCAGGAGGGCTCCTTGCAGCCATCTTGCCTTGATTACGGGCCAGGATCGGAAAACGTTCCTGCTAACGGGAATCACCATAGCTGGCAAAACGTGCAGCGTGATTTGTGACAACCTGCTGGTGGATGAAGACAGCGTGATGGATGTCAGAAGCAAAGGCAGTAACAGCAAAGCCATCTGTATTGGCAAGACCCCCAAAGACCTGATCTTCCTCATGGGCAAGAAGGGAGTCCATGGAGGAGCCCTCAACCAAAAGGTCCACGATATGATTGTGGGCATGAACGCATGAAGCAAATAGTGCCAAAGAGATAGACATCTTCTGCCTAAGCACAGGGGCACGGTTGTTGCTGTAGCAGGGAAGGAAAATAAACCTGGTTTTGTTGCACATGCTTTTGCCTGCTTCTTTCAGGTGGGGGGCTGCTGGGCAGGCAGCACTGCTGGGACAGTGACAGTCTTACCTAACCAGCTGTGGTGCAGAAGGGAGTAACATCTACATTCTTCATCAGGATGCTTGGTATTACTTGAGTGGTCTTCTGGCCATCTTGGGTAGTTGCTCCCTGTTATTCTGATTTTATGGACTGATTTTGGGGTGAAGGTCTCTGCTAACATTAGCTTTGGGAAAAGGCAGGAGGGCAATCCCTTTGCCCTCTTGTTCACCACTTTGCTGTTTACATCATGCCCTAATGCCATTCATGGGTTTTGAGATCTTCCTCCTTCTCCAAGTAGGCCACGACACTAAGGATAAGCAAGACTTACTGTTTATTTTGTATTTGCCCCTCAAACAAGCCCAGTTCATTCTGGAGATTAACTACTCATCAGCAGAGCATGGTGCTGCTGTTGGACTGTGTGGGAGGCACGTGCAGAGATAGTCTGCCACCTGCTCACCATCCACATCATTTGAAATGCCTTCTTATGCTACTTTACTGAGCAAATGGGGTTTTTTTACGAGGTAAGTTGCCTGTCTTGCATCTGTGGCATGGGGATCTTCTGAAGGTTGTTGCCTTTCCATCCTGCTCAGTCACGGTCTGGCCTCAAGATCACAGGAGTCCCTGTAAACCTCCCGGAACACCCAGGAGGACATGGAGTTGTGCCGAATGCTGCAGATTTTCTCCTCCATTCACCAGTACAGCCCTCCCGCCATGCTCCCCCTTGTAACCCCAAATGGCCAGTCTGAAATGGGGCAGAACTGGTGTGCTTGAGATGGGACCGATGCAGGGAAGACTCAAGGGGTATCTCCGGTGGGGTCGATCTCCTCACAAGCGGGCTTTCCTTGCTCCATTGCTCCTGGCAGCTGTGGCAGCTGCCTGGCAGCAAGCTTGAATCCACCACATGCCGTCCGGCTGCAGCACGGGTGCGCTGTGACCGCTCACCCATGGTGAGACACCCCGTCCTCCATACCCCTGGGATCCTCCCCCATTGCGCCAGGTAAATCATAGATGCTAAACTGCTTGGTCTGGTTTGACCAGACCTCCACCACCACCTTCAAATCGTTGACCCTGAGTCAAAAATAATTACTCGTGATGACTTTTATGACACTGCCACTGATACCAAAAATTACAGCTTACGAAAACTCTCTTAAGACTCATTTTGGAGCTTTAGAAAGCAGGCATTATTTATGGCGCTGGATGCATGGGGGATACTTCCACCTAATGTGCATGCCGCACAACCAAAAACATACAATTTATGTAGGACAGAAATATACATATTCATCATATTTCTTGGAAAAGGTGGTCTTAGGATAATGAATCCCTGGAACCTATTTACATATTCTCTCCCCAGGTGCGATGCTCAGTGACTTGTGTCAGTGGTTCTTGGGGGTCCCTAGTGGTCTTCATAGAGGGGTCTTTCAGTGTCCTTTCCATGAACTCCGGATCCTTTTCCCATATATAGTCATGAGTTGGCTCACTGAGCAGCTTATCACAGCTTTGCTACCATATGTGCTAGTCTTAACTAGTTTCTCTGCACTTATCTTGGGTGATGATGCTCCTAGTTCTTCTGACCTTGGTGTCTGCCAGTTTCAGGCTGTGATTTAAAGAGCTTGTTCAAGGTTTGTTAATCTTACAATACAAAGATACTGTTTCAAAGAATTTCTAAGTAAGTCCGCAGTTTCTTCCCACTGAGAGTTAAAGTCACAGGCTGAACTATTGATGCAAAAGTATAGATCTCACATTCTGTATCACCACAGACATGAGAGGAGAGCCAGCCCTACTGGGCAGAGTGAGAGCACTTGCACGCTCTCTGTTAATCCTCTCATTTAACATGGAGTCAATATTTTGTAATTTAATTGAATTCACACAGAGATCTTTCATCTGCAACCACACCCACAGGAGCAGAAAAACGCTGTAAGGGGAGCCAGACATCTAATGTATTAGCAAATATTGAACAAAACTGCAATGACCGTCTAATTAGTAAGCACTGTTTGATAAGCAGTGCTTACAAGCATGAATCAAAACCAATTAACATAAGTACTAAAGGGAAAAAAACCCACAAAAACGCAAACTGGTTTTCAAATCTAACACTAAAAGTAATGTGTCAAATGAAATAAATAAATAAATAAAAGGTGAGTAGTTACGCTGGCCGCAAGTTTTTCAAAAAGCAAAGGCATTCCTAAGGAACATTGCTGCTTATTTTCACAAGCTTAAGGCAAAAATGAGTAACTATCTTCTGTGATTTTTTGACCACTGGTAGTTTTCTCCACTGTGCAAATCACAAAATGCAGAAAGCTTTCACCCTCCAGACTTCAGTCTAAGAGGCATCAAAATGACAGGATTTGGAATAAGAGAAAATAATTTTGGATGATTTACTGCTTGCTCCCTTCTTCAGGGTGCCAGAAAAAAACAGGTCTGGAGTGTCTATACATATATACTCTACCACCATGAGAATTTGGAGAAGTATGGCCCTATATTGCATGATGGTGTTGTGAATATCTGCTCCCTAGTTACCCATTATTATGGGCAGCACAATGGTGTACAAAACCAGTACCTTTCAGTTTGAAGGATTTGTTAACTGAATTCAGAAATAACTAGCCTTTGCTAGTGATTGCATATTAATTTAGAGACAAAATTATTTCTAAATCCAGGAAGGACCTTAAACTTTCATTCCCTAAATCTATCAGCCTGGAGCCTAAGGAGATTTTGTTCAGACCAGCCCTGAAAAGCAGCTGTTATGTTCTGCCGTGACTCTTCTTGAAGACTACAGCATGGAGGAGCTTAAAGAGGAATAACAGAAGGCGGCAGCATCTGCATAATCTCTCCTCTCCTGCTGTGATACAAAGAACATAAAATCAGAAATAGCTGCAGAGAGCATGGTTGTGGCTTAATGTTTCAGGTCTAAGACTGCACCCTTTGAGAAAAGCCTTCTTCACGCATACACCAGGCACCTCTCAAAAAGGCCTCCGGTAAATAGCTTGACCAGCAGGTTTGTTTAATCCTCCATCCCAGGCATACCGGTGCTTACTTAGGAGCCACCAACTCCTTCTGCTATAAAACAATGTGAATAGAGCCATTCAGACAAACATAGGCACTGCTCTTGTTACAATCCACAGCCTCTTGTGCAACAGGATTGTATCTGCCGTAGTCAGAGCGGGCATGGTAAACCTGCACGTAAAAGGAAATGACTGTGTTTTCAATTGCTTATAACTTCATCAAACTTCAGGACGGTTGTGCTGAAATTCTTCGTACCAGGTTCTTGCCTCAGGCTCCTTAAAATGTGTCTGCTCAGATGAAGGATTTGCAGTGTCAATCCCACAGCAAACTGGGGCTGGGCTCTCTTGCTCATGAAAGTGGGCAATGCTGGCGTATCTTGAAAAAGCATGGTGTCAGCTCAGAAGCAGCCACGTGACAAATTTTCAGGTGGAACAAATTTTATGGAAAAAGTAATAACGTATCTGCCTTCAGATGCAGTGGGCAATTAGAGATAATTCTGCAAGAGGCAAACCTAGACTCTTGTGTAGCAGCTGCTCAATTGGAGGTCTAAGATGAATGACGAGGAAAAAGTTGAAGAATTTTACTTGTTTCCACTAAAAAAAAAGACAAGTGACTGGGGGATCTTGTAGGTCTTCAATATGTGCACAGTGCTGTACTTTGGAAAGGCATAAAATACCACACTGAGGGGGTGATTTGGATGAACATTAAAAAAAAAAAAAATCCCAGTGACAAAGACAGCAAAATGCTAGCCTTGATTAGGTGACAGGATGGAGCTAAATGTAGACTGGGCTTGTCTCAGTGGAGGAATAGGGTTAAATGCCCACACCCAGGGATATGCCAGTTATTTTTCCAGTGACTCTGATAATTCAGCAAAAGGCAGGGATGAGGGGATGACATGGCCGAGTATGCAGTCATCCTAAGCTGATTTCAACAACATATGATAAAAATTATATTACACCCACACACACACACAAATTATATCCTTCTTCCAAACTTAGAACAAACAATAAATTCAAAAGATTCCTTCATAGAGAGGAGGGGAGGATGAAAGCATTGCTGTTTCCTCTTACAATCTTCAAGGAAATCAGAGTTCAGTGAGTCATGCACCAGAAATGAGCTCAGTGAAATTCATAGGGAAAAATCTCAGGCGAATAATTGGCGATGGCAGAATTAAAAATAGAGACAGTAATGATAGATGCCTTTTAATGGAGCCAGAGCAATGAGATCAAGGGATCTTTTTTGTGAGGCTTTTCCTACATGGGGAATCGTAAATACATAAAAGCTGGGCAGGTTGGTAGGCTACTTCATTCACTGTCCAGTCATATAGGAAGAGGAATTGATAGCAGGACAATACAGAAATGGTTGTTCCAGGCAAATTTTCAGCCCAGAATTAACTAATGCAGGCTAGTGATGTTACAAGTTCTCCCCATGTTCCATAATTGCAATTCTCCAGGTGAGTATAATATCAGTCAGGCACCTTTAGGAATTTGAATAGTCAGGGTAGGGCTGCATGTCATCTGGGAGAGCAGGTAAGGACAAAAGGAGAGGCTTTACTGGGGAGCAGTGCTTTTATTCTGCAGCACAAGGACTAATACACTCTGCAGCCATCATGGGGGAGGATGGGAGGAAGGTCCCCACCCTAATCCAGGCACAGCTGAAAAAGCAATCTGATGCTAGCTTAGTGTCCCAGGAAATGTAGGAACAAGGATTGCTTTATGGGCAGCAGAAGCAGGGGAATACAGAAAGCATCAGGAGGCAAGTACAAATGGCGTGCTGGAGCTGGGGTCCAAGGCAGCTCCTGGCGGGGTCATTCCAGTCTGCCCACCTCTGTTCCTGCTGCGTTTGAAATTACACGTCCTGTCTT